CCACTCCCCAAGGTGATGGTAAACTGCATGCACTGCAAGCAGGTACTAATAAAATTTTTAAAAAGTTAAATAAAGTTTTAGTAGGAAACAAGGATATATTTACATATGAATGAGAAATTGTTGCATATCAAAATGCGTGGATCAGATTTCAGCACAAGACAAAATCAGTAAAAAGCCTTAGCTCTTGAGGGCCGGGGATTTAGCTCAGTGGTTAGGGTTAGCACAGTGGTTCCGCCACCTGCCTTGCAAGTGCAAGGACCCGAGTTTGATCCCCGGTACCAAAAAACAAAACAAAAGCCTTAGCTCTTGAATATGGCTGTTATCTAAAATATTCTTACTTCAGAGGTGAAAAATTTCCAATATTGTTTTGCAATGTTCTTAAATTTAAAGGTAATGTAGGATTTTACATATTCGGGGGGGGGGCCATTTTCATCCAGTTGTTTATTTGCTTCACTTCAAGTAGATTTTAAAATTGTTTTTGTAGCCAAATTCCCTAAAGTATACTCTGATACAGTTTATAGCACAGATATTCAGACAAAGTACTCTGAAGGATCTTTTTTCTGTAGCATGCTGGGATTGTTTGTTGTTTTTAATTTGTATGTTTTTGGGGAATCATTATGTATTTGTTACTTAAAGTAGTGTTTCATTACTTGTAATAGGTGTTTGTTTTGCCCCAAATAAACATGAGATAATTTTAGTTTCACAACTGATAACATTGATTATAAAATAACTTCCAGTTAGGCAGGGATTTAGGTCAGTGGTGCTGAGCCTGCCTCCTGCAAGGTCATGAGTTCCTCCCCAGTACCACAAAAAACAAAACAAAACAAATAAACTTCCTATTGTATCCTAGCATAGTACATTTAATGGTTTGATCTTCCAAACAGGATTGAAGACATCGGTGTAAAGCACTTGAAAATTAGGATTTGTTTTGTGGTTAATTTGTTATCTCACTGTTGCTAACCTGCTGAGCATGACACTGGGTCCATCAGCCCCATCCCTTACTTTTCTACTGTAAATTTGTACTTTAGGGTAATAGTAGCCAGCTGTGTCTCAGTACCTTTCCCTGAGGGATACAGGAAGCAATCTGTGTGTTTACCCACTTGGTATGATGAACAGCAAGGTGTGTACATGTATGCAAAAGTGGCACAATGGGGGCCGGGGATTTAGCTCAGTGGTTTCACCGCCTCCTGTGCAAGTGCAAGGACCCGAGTTCGATCCCCAATATCAAAAAAAAAAGAAAGGCACAATGGGATTTTTACCCATGTTATGCTCTAACTGGTTTTGTGTATGTTTTCCCAAGCATCACAGAGGGTCTCATAGACCCACACCACTCCAGAATTTGTTAAAAAATTTTTTTCTTTTGATTTTTTTGGTAGAAGTAGCCCAGTTCAGTACAGTGGCACATGAAAAACCAGATTTGCGTGTTTTGTCAAAAGTGAATCATCAGATTCCTCATGCTTGGATGATGAAGATGATTCATTGTGGTAAAATACATGTTTTCATAACAAGTGTGGTATGGGCAGATGATGATGATGAGGATGCTTCAACACGACAGGCGACAACGACTTTGACATTGGCCATGTGAGCCAAAATTCCTGTGACAGTGAAATGAAGCAAGAATCACTGATACAGACACAGGGAATGCAGACCTCCTTGATTCAGATGACAAAGAAAATAGCAACATGAGTGCATATTTGACTAGTTGAAATGCTGCAAAATGATTAACCAAATGGAAGGATCTAATGTTTGAACGAGGTCCAAAAATATAGTGAGGTTCTTGGGAGGGATTAAATGTATTGGACAGAATGCCAGCACTGCCATTCAAAGTTGGAAATTGTGTAACAGATAAAATGCTACAGGATGCTGTGAAATACACAAACGCTGAAATGCAAGTGAAACGTTCTGTATGTACCAATAGCCATATTTATTTATTTATTTTTATTTATTTACTTTTTTTGGTACCGGGGATCGAACTCAGGACCTTGCACTTGCGAGGCAGGTGCTGGAACCACTGAGCTAAGTCCCTGGCCCAATAGCCATATTTAAAAATGCATTTATAATGACACTTCACTAGCTGAACTGAAATTGTTCATAGATCTGCTATAGTTAGGGATTTCTCATAGTAATTGCAGGAATGTAAAAGACTTATGGAAAAGTGATGGGTCAAAATATGGCATAAAAATTTATGCCCTTGTAGATGGGAAGACTTACTATGCTTTCAATTCAGACATTTATCTTGGAACTCAGCCATCAAGTACTTATTCGTAGAGTAATAAACCAAATGATGTTGTGAACAGACTTGTTGCTCCCATCTCCCAGACTAATCAGAATGTGACATTTGACAGTTGGTTTACCAGTTTCCAATCAGTGTTACATTTGCTAATAGAGCATAAGTTGTCCATCGCAGGAACTGTATGCAGGAACAAAGCAGAAATTCCAAATGAAATGTTGTGATTTCAAAACAGAATTGTATAGTACAATCTTTGGATTTCAGGAAGATTTGCATTGGCCTCATATGGCAAAGAAAAACAAAGTGCTGATGTCAATATTACACCACGATGGAAATATTGATAGGGAAACCTTGACAAAAACGAAAGCCTGGGATGGAAACTTTCTACAACAAAACTAAAAGCGGAGTAGATGATGTTGATGAGTTACACAGCAGTTATGAAGTCACTTGAAACACAAAGAATTGACCAGTGATTGTGTTTTACCTGATCCTAAACATGTGTGGCATAAATAGTTTGATAGCTTATAAAGAAAATAACAAGTGCAAAATATCACAGAGAAATTTTCTTAGAGGTTTGGGACTGGAACTTACAAAAGATCGTTTACAGCAGAGGAAAAACAAAATGTTTCTGCCCAGGAGAACGACACAAAAAAATTATGGAGCACACTGGTGAGCTGACGGGAACAGGCAGGGACAGCATCATAAAGACCTCCTACAACAACAGGAAAACCAAAAATGGCAACTATATGTCCTACAAGAAAGGACAGGAAAACAAAACATATGTGCTGTCAGGATAAGTGATACTTATGTATGGAACATGCAGTTGTCATGTGTGAAAACTGCCTTGCAAGTGACAGTTGAAGCAAAGATTATTTCTGTGGTGGACTGCTGTTTGTGTTTATATTGTAGTTCACAATAGGTTTTTATTTCTCATGTTATCTCTTAGGTTTTGTAAGCAAGTAAACAGCTGATGTGAAAATGTTGATGTTTATTCTAAGCACTGGTTACATATTTGATATTTTATTTTATTGATATCTTAGTTCCCTGCTAAGTGCATGTTGTACAATATAGTAGGAAGCTCCTGGCAAAACAGGAAGAGAAGAGAGGTGATAAGACTGCCACAAGAAGAGAAAGCTAAGCAAATGTGCTGTCAGTGTAAGCAGGATGAGTGCCTGCAGCATGCAGTTGTCAAGTGTGAAGACTACCTTGGGTGTGACAATTGAAGCAAAGCTTATTTGTAGGCTCTGTTGGTATTTTCATTGTAGTTCATATAGGAATTTATTTCTGATGTTATCTTTTAGGTTTTGTAAGCAAGTAAACAGCTGATGTGAAAATGTTGCTGTCTGTTCTAAATGGACAATACATATTAAGAATTTAATACTTTATTGATATTTTGTGTTCCTGTTAACTACACACTGTATAATACAATAAGAAACTCCTGACAAACCAGCAAGACCAGTGAGATGTCAAGTATGTCCTACCAAAAGGCCAGGAAAACAACACATGTGCTGTCAGTGTAAACGATAGGTGTGTATAGAACGTGCTGTTATCATGTGTGCAGACTGCCTTAGGTGTGATAATTGAAGTAAAGGTTATTTTTTCACAAAGTGCTATTGTTATTTCCATTGTAGTTCATATAAGAATTTATTTGTGGTGTTCTTTTATAGACTGTGTACACCAAAGAAACAGTTGATGTTGAAAATTTTGATGCTTTTTTATAAACACTCAATAAATATTAATTCACTACTTTATCTTTGTGATATTTTTTCCTGTTCTCATTGTGTAATATACTAAAACTCAAAATTAATAATTCATCAATATATTCTAAAGGGTAATGCACCTTTATGACTAAATTAGTATTATTCTCTACAATGATGAGTAACTTTAAGGACCATCCTAAACCTGTAAAATAATGTTATGGCTCAATATTTGGGACTTGTTACGTCCTTATAATAAATTATTGTTTCTTTTTTAAATTCAGTATCACTTCTTTTTATCACCAAGCTTGTCTCTGACCTACACATTCTCTGGAAAATAAAATAATAAGGAAAGACTGAAAAAACAGATGGAAGAACATAGGATCGGGAAAACCAAGGATGGAAATGCAGCTGGGCTTCAGGAAAATGAGAAGTGGGAGCTGGAGAACCCAAGGAAATCCAAATAGCATCTGCTCTCTGTCTCTTATCTCTGCATCTTTGCTTATTGTTTAAAATCTTTCCTCTCTCTGCCAGTTGTCTCCTGTACTTGTCACCTCACATGATGGAATATGAGTTTCCTTGTTTGTTGGTCCAGCCTTCGCAAGATACAGCTGTCCCTCCTAGTGTCACTGCCTGCCTTTGGTCAGGCCAATGGGGCCTGGGTGGAAGGGTTATTGTGTATGTATGTGTGTGTCTGTGTGCATGTGCGTGTGTGGGGGGGGGTGAGCTCAGCACACCCTGTGACAGTATCTGCTGGCCGGATGCGGTGGTGTACACTTGTAATCCCAGCTACTTGGGAGGCTAATGCTGGAGGGTTGCAAGTCCAAGGCCAGCCTGGGCAACTTAATGAGACCCTGACTCCAAAAGAAAGAAAGAAAAAATAATGTTTCACATTCTTCTAGGGATATCGTAAAAGAGCAGTAGGAGTATCAGATTATTGTCAAGCCTCGTCTTAGGAGGTTATGAGGGGGAGGGAGGATAATGTTGGTCAAATAGGAGGCTTTTTATAATAATCACGTGAGGAAAAAGCACCTAGGACATTTTAATTTAATATTTCCTTTTCTTTGCAACAGGTTACTGGTTATTTGGACGATTGTACCTGTGATGTTGAAACCATCGATAGATTTAATAACTACAAACTTTTTCCAAGACTACAAAAACTTCTTGAAAGTGATTACTTTAGATATTATAAGGTATTTTATTCTGTTTTTATTTTTTGATATCAGGGATCAAACTCAGGACTTTGCACTTGCGAGGCAGGTGCAGTGCCACTGAGCTAAATCCCCGGCCCATTATAAGGTATTTAAAATTTTATATTTTGTATATGAATTCTTCAAATGGAAAATTATATTTTCTTAAGAATTACTAAGCTTCAAAATTGTGGTTATTATTTATAATCGATAGAGGCTTTATTAGGAAAATTCTCTTCATGAGAATGAACCATTTGTTTCTGAAACCACACATTGGGCACATTTAATTTCAGTAACAGTATTGGACTCTGCAGTTAGAATCTAGCTGGCTAAATTGAAATTAGAATAGAAACTATTATATTATAATCAAGATAGTTCATAATTTTCTCATATCAGATTAGCTCAAATTAATTGAAATAAATTTTAAAAGAAGCATGATTTACTCTGACCTATGTTATTTTGACAAGTCACTTGTATTTTATCTTGAGGTGACTACTGGAAAAGTTTAGAAAACCTGACTATTGAAATATTTGTATTCTGAGTTTACAATTCCTAACTGGACTCTGTTAGCTGTTTCTTGCCTTAAAAAATGCAAATTGAGCAGTGATGATGTGGGTAACTTGGGCTCCTACTTACCTGGTTCAGGGTCTGTTTAGAGGCAGTGTGTATCTTTCTAACAGAATCTACCGATTTACCCATACCAGCTACACAGTTACACAGTACAATCAGTGAAACTTGACAATAGGAAGAAGTAGCATAATTGCAGCACATAACCAGATTATAGCATCATAATTCAGCAACTATCAGTTATAACTTTGGAATTCTTTTTTCTTGGTACTGGGGATCGAACTCAGGTCCTTCTGCTTGTGAGGCAGGTGGCAGAACCACTGAGCTAAATCCCCAGCCCCAACCTTGGGATTCTTATTTTTATGACTTTTAGCCAGGCATGAGGAAGCACGTTCTATAATCCCACGACTCAGGAGGCTGACATAGGAGGATTGGTAGTTCGAGGCCATCTTGAGCTATACAGTGAGTTCAGGGCCAGCCTGTCTCAAAAAAACAAAACCTTAAAACCCTGTCTCAAAAAACAAAAGTAAGGGCCTGGGACTTAGCTCAGTGGTGCCACCAGCTCCCTTGCAAGCACAAGGTCCCGAGTTCGATCCCTGGTACCAAACAAAAAACCCAAAAGTGTTTATTATTTTTATAACTTTTCTCTGTTTTTTATAGGTCAACCTGAAGAGGCCATGTCCTTTCTGGAATGATATCAGCCAGTGCGGAATAAGGGACTGTGCTGTCAAACCTTGCCAATCTGTAAGAGCTGAGTAAATTTAAGAATTATTATCTTTTTTCACCCATATCAACTGGGGTGTTTTGGTGGTACGGGGGATCAAACCCAGGGCCTTTGCACTGAGCTATATCCCCAGCCTTGTTGTAAATTAATTAATCATATGTGCAATTCCTTCTTAATTAAAAAATTCTTCCCACATTTTTTATTAGTGCATAATTGGTTATACAGATTAATGGGTTTCATTTTGTCAGATTCGTACATGGACGTAACATGCATCAATCATTTCTTCCTCCATCACCTCCTTTCCCCTTTCTCCCCAGTTTCACATTTTGGGGGTTCAATGTGTAGAATGTATTTTGATCATATTCATACCCCATCACTTGTTCTTATACCCCTTTCCTCTCTCTAATCTTCCCTTCTTGCCTAATAATGGTCTCCCTCCTACTTTCTGTTGTCTTTTTTAGGTTCTTCATATTAGAGAGAACGTGCAATATTTGCCTTTCTGAGCCAGGCTTATTGTATCACTCAACAAGATATTCACCAAGTCAGGCCAGGGATTTAGCTCAGTGGTTTCGCCACCTGCTGCACAAGCGCAAGGACCTGAGTTCAAAAAAAAAAAAAAGATATTCACCACATCCATCCCTTTTTCTGTAAATGATAAAATTTTTGTTTTTTTTTATGGCTGAATACTGCATACACACACACACACACACACACACACACACACACACACACACACACACACACACACACTTTATCTACCCATCTGTTGGTAAGCACCCAGGCTGGTTCCATGTCTTGGCCATGGTATATTGTGCTGCAGTAAATCTGAATATGAGTTATCCGTATGGCACACTGACTTTAATTCCTTTGGATATATACCCAGGATTGGTGTGGCTGGATCAAATGGTAGTTCTAGTTTTAGTTTTCTAAGGAACTTCCATATTGATTTCCATAGTGGCTGTACTAATTTACATTCTCAACCGAGAGTGTTCCTTTTTCTCTGTATCCTTGCCAGCATTTATTGTTTTTTTAAAATTCTTGATGATAGCCATTCTGACTGGGAGAACACAGAATTTCCCTAATTTTTAATTTTATTTATTTATTTATTTTATTTTGGCGGGGGGGTTACCGGGGATCGAACTTGGGTCCTTGCACTTGCGCAGCAGGTGGCGAAACCACTGAGCTAAATCCCTGGCCCTATTTATTTTTATTTTTAAAAAGTTTTTGGTACCAGGGATCGAACTTGGGACCTTGCGCTTGTGAGGCAGGTGGTGGAACCACTGAGCTAAAACCCTGGCCCCTTAATTTTTTGTTTTGAGACAAGGTCTTGCAAAGTTGTCCAGGCTGGGTTCAAACCTGTGATCCTCTTACCTCAGCCTCCCCAGTACTGGGATGAAAGATGTGTTCACCATGGCTGGTTCATTACAAGTTTTTGTTTGTTTGCTTTTTCCAGTAGCAGAAATTGAACTCAGGACCTTACACTTGCCAGGAAGGTGCAGGGCTGTTGAGCTACATCTCTGGCCCTCTGATTCATTACAACTTTTTAAAGGGAGCCAATATAACCAAATAATAATTCAATCCTTAGTTTAAATATGTCATTCAATATTTACATATTACAAACCTAGACTTACAACTATAAGCCTATTTTGAATTATACTGCCTTCATAATAATAGAACTATAATTTTGTGCTTAATAATACTCTGATTTATTAGAGGGATTAATAGTTCTTTTGCCTTGATATTTGTTTTTCTTCTTATGTCTTTCTTGAATGAAGTTATGTGTATATATATGAGTACCTTCCATTATTTCCTTGGGTTTTCTGGGGTAGAGGTTGGGAGTGGACAAAACACCTGATTTTACCTAGGGATTTTTAGAGTGCTAAAATTTGAAGTATTTTTCTTCAAAATAGAAGAACAGTTTTTTAATTCTTTCAAATGAAGCAGTTTTTTCTCATTAAAGGTATATAGGGCTAGGGATGGCCCTCAGTAGTAGAGTGCTTGCCTAGCATGCATGAGGCCTGGATATAATTCCCAGCAGTAATAACAAAGTGTAATTTTTTATTTTATATGGGTTCTTTCTTGGCCAAGAAATATATATATATTTAACCATTCTAACTATTTAAGTGTGCAATTCAGTGGCATTAAGTACATTCATACTGTATAATTACCATCACCCATCTCCAAAATGTTTTCATTCTTTCCAGTTGAAACCATGCCACTTAGACACTAATTCCCCAATTCCCCCTCCTCCCAGTCCTTGGCAAATTCCATTCTTTTTCTATATATTTGATTATACTAGGCACCTCCTGTAATGGGAATCATATGATATTTGTCCTTTTGCATCTGGTTTTATTTCTTGATGCATGTAGTGGCACGAATCAGAATTTTATTCTATTTTAGTAAATAGAATAAAGGCTGAATTATAATACTGCACTCTATGTCTTTACTAAATTTTGTTATCCATTCATCTGTTGGGGGACTTTCATGTTATTTCTACTTTTTGGCTCTTGAGAATCATACATCTGTGAACATGGGTCTACAAACGTTTGTTCATGTTCCTATTTTCAATTTTTGGGGGGGTTGAACCTAGATTTTTGAGTATGTTGAGCACATGCTTTCCAACCAAGCTATATCTTGAGCCTCTCACAATCTTTATGGGGTATAACTAGAAGTGGAATTGCTGGATCATATGGTAATGCTATGTTTAATTTTTGAGAAATTACCAGACTGTCTTCCACAGTGCCATTTTGCATTCCTATCAGCAGTGCACAAAAGTTCCAATTTCTCTACATCTTTGACAACACTGTTATTTTCTGATTTTTGGATGATGGCCATCCTAACAGATGTGAAGTAGTATTGTGATTTTCAGCAGTTTATTTTTATGCATGTAAATATTGCTACATAGACATATCTAGCATGTGGAAATTAAGGCCAATGTAAAATATTATTTGTGAATGTTTTATTATGAGAACGAGAAGCATATTTTTAGTTATATTGATCTTCATAGACAACTCTGAAAATTTAAGAATTAAATAATGAAACACCTTATATTTCTATATTGGTTTGCTTCAGATTTCTATAGCAGAATACCTAGTATAATCAACTTACCAAGATAAAAGGCTTATCTTGACTCTTGGTGTTGGTGTTTCCGGTCTGTGATTGATGGCTGCATTGCTTTGGGCCTATGAAGAGGTAGCAAATGGTGGGAACGTGTGGCATGACCGTGTGGCAAAGCAGAAGCCCTCACCTCATGGGCAGGAAGCCAAAAAGAGGAAGTGGAAGGGCCTGAGGTTACAGTGTCCCCTTCAAGGGCATGCCCCCATGAATGAAGGATGTCCCTCTAGCCCCCTTTGAAAGGTGCCACCACCTCCCAGTAGTGCCTCCCTGGGGCCAGACCTTTGATGCATGAGCCTTCGGGACATTCAAGATCTAAACCATGGCAGTTACAATTATTAACGGCTGAGCATATCATTAAAGCACTATTTTCAGTTGCAGTAATTCATTTAATAAGTCCTTGCACTTATAGTTTAGTAACAGGAAAATTTAGTTGGGGAAATTCGAATTTACCAATATCATTTATATGACTTATTAAAATCGTGAAACTGAGACAGGATCTAGTTAGCTCAGTGTCTACAAAATTGGGGCTGAGTACTTTTCATGCCAGTACTCTTGTTTTCTTTCTTGAGCTGATACCATAATGGGGAGAAGGCTTTTTGCATTTTTTAATAAGATAGTTGGAAGATGTTTTTCTACTTGAAAATATTCTTAGTTTATAAATGTATAAGTTTGGCACTGAAGTTTTAGGAGGATAACTGGCAGTACTGTGGGGAGTGAGAGCAGAAGATGAGGAGATGGAGAAGAGATTGGTGAAGTAGTATCAGTTAGCATTTGAATGTAATTTGATTCAATAATGAATATTCCCCTCCCCCTCTTTTTTTTGGTACCGGGGATCAAACTCAGGACCTTGCGCTTGTGAGGCAGGCACAGTGCCACTGAGCTAAATCCCTGGCCCTCAATAATGAATATTTTGTGAGAGTCTAGGACCTGGACATACAAGCTTAGCTCTCTCCTGTCTTGACTTGTGGTTCGGTAGAGAAGAGAAACACTAACTGAGCATTAAGAGATGTAATAGCCCACCGCTCCACTTTCAGAGTATGCTAAGGGGTACACACTGAGAGTAAAGGGGAGGGACACTACAGGACTCCACTCCCAGTGACGGTGAGGGACTGGCCAGTAGTATTCCTCTTGGGATAAGCCCTGCTTAGTTCTGATAGTTCCAAAATGGGTGGGGGTATTGAAACCAAAGAGTTATTAAAAATCATTTCAAGTACTTTGGAATGCTTACTTTAGCTTAATCACTTTTTATACATAGCATTTGTATTGTGTGTGTGTGTGTGTGTGTGTGTGTGTGTGTGTGTGTGTGTTTTGTTGTTGTTTTGTTTTTGGTCTTTGAGACAGAGTCTTGCTTTGTGGTTCAGGCTGGCCCTGAACTCACTATGTAGCCCAGGCTGGCTTCAAACTTAGGGAGACCCTTCTGCCTCAGCCTCCCAAGTGCTGAGATTATAGGGGTGTGCCCCCATGCCCAGTTACTGTGTGTTACTGATATCTTGATATGTCGCTGTTTTTTCCTTCAGTGTGCATCTAAAAGAAAGGATATTACTTCCTGACCACAGTGCCATTATCACAGTTAAAACAGTGAACAAACAGTTCCCTTAATTTAATACCCACAGTTAACTTTCTACCCAGATGGTCGGTTGCTGCTTTGGCAGTTCCTTTTTGGGCTGAACAAGGAAGGTGAAAGACCAGTTCCCTTTTGATTGGCACTTTGATTTCCTTTTTTAGTTCATGTTATATACCCTGTGACCCAGCAGGAGGTCGAAAAATAATAAAATTTGAAGTTCTCTTCCTTACATTTGATACTTTGAAAACCATATCCCTTGATGTGGACTCTGATTCCAGAGAAAATTTGAGTGAGTTAGACAGTTTGCCTTTCAAGGCTGGAATCTTTTCTAAAACCCCGTTTATTCCCTTTATATAACTTATCAAAATAAGATTCTTTCACCTCCATTATTAGTTGGCTAATATGGATTAACAATACTCAGTGTTCATCTGGGAATGAAAAATGAACACCCTGGTGATTAAGTCTTTTTGGAGATAAACTTGGCAAATGCATCAACAAAATTAAAAAGGCACAGACCCTTTGACCTACCTATTTTACTGGGAATTTCACTTAGTAATTGGACAGATGTTCAAAGGTGACTGTAAAGCAGCACTGGGTATTACAAATATGTCGGTTCCTCTGAAATTAATCTATAAATCTGGCATTGTTTATTATATGACAAAACTAGTAACCATCTAAAAATGTCCAGCCTGGGCCAGGGATTTAGCTCAGTGGTTTCTCCGCCTGCTGCGCAAGCGCAAGGACCCAAGTTCAATCCCCAGTACCAAAACCAAAAAAACAAAATAAAAATGTCCAGCCATTGAAAAAGAATTGCATCGATCTAGTTGGAAGTCTGGAAGGGTACGTAATAAAGTGGGGATCTTGTGGGAATATCCCTAGCATGGGGATGGGACTGTTCAGTTTACAGAGTTCGCATACATCCCTGTCTGCCCAGCATCTCTTTCAGTGTGGGCAGATACCAACAGTTCCTGTAGTTACTAACTAAGTGACCCACACAACCAAAAATCAGTTCTAGTTTCCTCTGGAAAGAACTAGAGCTCCTTTAAAAATGGTTGATTGTAAGAGGGGAGCAAGAAATACGTGAGGTGAACCTAGAATATTTTGTCAGCACGGAAAACAAAACAAAATGCTACTAAGGACTACTGAAGTAATGTCAGACAGACACTCGTGCGAGGAGTTAAGTTAGCACTTAGTGGATCGCCTAGTGGCCAGATATGGGACAGTCTGAGCATCAACAATAACTGTTTTTTACCGTTTCATGATGTAATTGATGATCAGCAACAGAATAGTTTGTTTTTGAGTTTTTATTTTTTTACTAACTTATGGTACTTAGTTAGTTAATTAGGGGTTTTTTTTGGTAAAGGGAGGATGTAACCTTGTGCATCTGAGGCAAACACCCTACCACTGAGCTACAACCCCAGCCCTGTTTTTTTAAGTTTTATTTATTTCTAAGAAATCATTTAAAATTGTCTATTCTTAGTTTAAAAAAATCTTCAAGGGTCAGGGATTTAGCTCAGTGGTTTCTCCACCCGCCTCGCAAGCACTGGGTCCCGAGTTTGATCCCCGGTACCAAAAAAAAAAAAAATCTTTAAACCTCAATAATTTTTTTCATGAACTTTAAATTTAAAATACTTTTTCAGAGGATATAATAAATTTCAACTAAAAATATTTTTTTCCCAGGATGAAGTTCCTGATGGAATTAAATCAGCGAGCTACAAGGTATGTATGGATACTTACTGATGTGTCCTATACATTAATAAAAAACTTGAAAAATTCATTTCCCTTGCCACATACTACTTTATTTCTCTGTTTCCCTTTACAATGATATCTCTTGAAAGCTATTTATATTCAGTGGCTCTAATTCTTTTTGTTTGGTTTTTTTTTAACTTTCTGTTATAGAAAGTATCAAAAGTAAAAGTAGAAGAAAAACACCAAAAATATGTACTTGTTATCCAACAGGTACTCTATGGCCAGAATTGCTTTAGCTGTACCTCCTATTTCATTTTTCCAACTATTTTAAAGCAAATTTCAAATCTTTTTTTTTTTTTTTTTTTACCCAACTCACATACAAAAAGATACTTTAAAAATTTCTTTTAAAGATACTTAAGAAAAAGAACATGCCCATGGTCAGGGATTGTTTCTCTGGCTCTTCCATAAATACCTTAATAGTTTTTTTGGAAATAGGATTCAGATATGTTTCATACATTGAATTTGGTTTATGTGTCTCTTCTGTCTCCTTTTTAAAATGAACCTTGCATTTTGTAACAGTTTTAGATTAATAGGAAATTGTGAAGATAGTAGAGTTCTCATGCACCTCATGCCCAGACTCCTCTGCAATAACATCAGACATGAGCATGGTGCCTCTTCTGGTGGTGGTGTTGCTGGGGTTAGAAAGCAGGACAGTGCCAGTACTCAGGTCATAGAAAAGCAGGATAATGCACTCCATGACGTGTTCATACCTCAGAAATTTTTTCAGAACTATATTCTTTGTTTGGTGAATGTAATACTAAATTGTATTTAACCAAGACAAAAGGCAAAGCCTCAGCTTATTTTTCAGCTTCAAGAGGAAGGAAGGTGAGAACTTTTAAAAATTTGAAGCCATGGTGATAACTTCTAAATTCTATATTCTTCTAAGTTCTTTTTATTATTATTATTATTATTATTATTATTTTTTGGTACTGGGGATCAAACTTGGGACCTTGTGCTTTCGAGGTAGGTGGCAGAACCACTAAGCTAAATCCCCGGCCCTTCTAAGTTCTTTTTAAAGGTTTTAAAATATAATTAGTGGTGTTCAATTTACTTTTTCATTTTAGTATTCTGAGGAAGCCAATAATCTCATTGAGGAATGTGAGAAAGCTGAACGGCTGGGTGCAGTGGATGAATCGCTGAGGTGTGGTATTTTTTTAGCAGTCCTTTGCTTCTTTCATGTCACACGTTAACTGAAACAACAATAACACCGTTTGCTTTGTTTGAAGTGAGGAAACGCAGAAGGCTGTGCTTCAGTGGACCAAGCACGATGACTCTTCAGACAACTTCTGTGAAGTTGATGGTATGACATTTTTTTACAGTGTGTTAGGTTTAAAATTATACTTAAGAAAAAAATTATATTAAAATAGCAAAGGCTTAGGTTAT